GAATATTAAACAACGACATTGCAGTGCTGATTTCCAAGGCAGTACATTTTGAAGGAGGGTGGGTGGTTAAATTACAGAACCAGATCTTAGTTCTCTTCCATCTAGAAGGGGCACATACATCAGTACTCAAAGCCACATATGGCGAAGGCTGGTGCAGGCGTGTTGGATGCATATGTGTGTCCTTGTCTTTTCTGCGCTAGAGTGAAGAAAAGGGGAAGGAGCGTGGCGGCGATTATACCGTGGTTGAAGATGATAACCTGCTTAGGTCTGGTTGCAGATGCTTCTGTTGTAGGGGTCTTCTCACAAGGTTTAGGGATGATGGCACGGAGCTCCGAAGATCTTCGTGTTTTACACCCTTATTAATTCATAAATGATCTCCGGAATGTGTTAATCCCAAGATCTTCGTTGTTTTAGGATGCTCTTTGTTATTTTGGTTATTTGTGCGTGTGTTAGAGTGTGTACGTATGGATCAAGGATTTTGTATTTTTTTTGATTTGATTACAAGTATACTTTCTCAAAAAAAGTAGGCCACAAAATACAAGCTAGATATCTTCATATTTAATTGGACCCCAAAGTTGATAGTATCAAGTTCCAGGTACTGCATAACACCTACCGTTAGACACACAAGAATACTGCGTATATATTTTAATCTGCCATTCAGTAAGGGTTCATCACATGGGTCAACGAAGCATCAGACCACTGGTCATGTTGACCTTAAGCCTACTTTCCTTTCAATGAACATGGACACAACCATTTTCGTCTTCTTTCATCATGGCACCCTTGATGACTTTTCGCCAGTTTTGCGTCATGACTGCACGCCGCCACTCTTGCCCATCATGAACCAGACCTTTTTAGATCCTCTGAAATACTCGTTCGTTTTTTTTTCTTTTTTGCGGGGAAGAAATACTCATTGGTGACAGGCATAACCATGGGTTTATGTAGATAATTTTTGAGGTAGTCCTGACCATTTGCTTTGAGCTTCCAGCAAATGGAAAAGACCTCGTGGAGTCCCTCCTAACAACACATGCACCGGCATCTCCACTAGCCATATCTATTGCTTCATCTGTATTGAGCTTAACACATCCCAGATTAGGCACATTCCATCTCGGATTAGAGTTCACTTGCTTCAGCGGAGCTGGAGATGGGATGTCCAACACCCTTATTAATTCATAAATGATCTCCACGGATTACGTGGTTGGTTCTGCACCTCACCATGAGCATACTTGTTTCTATTACTCCAAATTGCCCACATGGATGAAATAGCAATAGCAGCATGATCCTTGTTGATAAATCATTGGCCTGGCAAGTCCTTCCTTGCCATAGGGTGCAACCAAGGAAGCTTCAGTTCAAAGAAATTTGCGGTCACATTCCAAAACATCACCACATGATCTCATTGAATCATAGCATGAAATAAAGTCTCATCATTGTTACCACATATGGGGCATATGGCATCGCCGCGGTG